GTTAAATTGTACCGTTCCTCTTAGAACTAATTAAGTATACTTAATACAGTTGTAGTTGAATTATATATATATATATATATATTAAATATATTGGATTAATTCTAATCAAAATCACTTATGACAGAGTATATAATTTCACTACGGAAAAGAGCCAAAGTTTTAGAATTGTTTAAAGTAGTGAAAGAAAAATATATTTAGCATATCAATAATATCTAAACAAACACACTTAAAATACACTTTTAAATAAAAGACGGCAGAGAATTCTGCTAGATTTGCAAATATATCGTTTAGTGTAACTGGGCTAGACTAATTTTGGATTGAATTTTGCTACGACAACTTGTAACATTAAAGAGGATCTAAAATCCTGTGTTTAATTCCCAGCGGTGGACAGATTGCAGATAGCCCATCGTGCAGCTTTGCACTAAGAAAACAACTTCATTGAAAAGCAAACATCACAAGAATTAATGACACATAAGACTTATTTTTTGTAAAGCAGAAAATAATTAAATTGCCAAATTAAAAATGCACTCTCCGTATAAAACGTGATAAACAGATAAATTTATAACATGTTAATACCGTTAGACGGAGCTATTTGTTACAAGTCACGAATGAGCTTATTATTTTTTAGTGGGTTTGTTTGATGTAGAACAAAGCCACATCGGGCTATTTGCTGTGTCACCACGGGGAATCGAACGCCAGATTTTAGCGTTGTGAGTTCGTATATGTATTGCTGTTCCACCGAGGAAATTTTGAATGGGAAATTGAATACTTTGAAGCTTGATATTTCTACCTAATAATAGAAAAACCCAAAAATAATTCATGTATTTTTAAAAAGTATGAAAATAATGGAAAACATTTTGGAAATAAAAATTATTTTAGCATTTCAATTCAATGAAACATTAAATCTTTTGACAGTTTTAATTATGGCCCTTAATAATTTTCCTTAAATTCAAAAAACAAAATTAATTCATTTTTCTATTTCCAACATTTTTTGAATTATAGGAGGAGCCCCTCCCCCAATAGCTCAGTGATAAGTCTGCTGGCTTACAACACTAGAAATCGGGTTTCGATATCCGTGATGGGCAGAGCACAGATAGCCCATTGTGTAGCTTTGTGCTTAAAAGCAGTATCAACTTAAACTTTCATGGATCACATCTATCAGATGAGACCCCCCCCCCCAACTATGGGGGCTTAGCAAAAATTATGAAGTTTTATAAAACTAAAGTTCGGGTTTCGTTCCCCGCCATGAACACCTGTAGATAGCTATTGTGTAGCTTTGCGCTAACATGAGTAAATAGATATAGATTAAAGTACCTTTGAATAAGTCAACAGACAAATATAGAAACCGAAATAAGAGATATTCTTATAAGAAAATTTTCAATTATTGGATCTAATAATAAATCTTTGTTTGTTTTCTGTAGATTAACATTCAATTAATTTGGAATGTCAAAGTTAGTAAATTCCAGCTTACTTTTGTTTTATTCCCAGGTGCACTGATATCCCCTAAAAGTATTCCGGTAGCATACACAATATTTGAAAGAAAATGTTTTGTGTGAGTAAATCTGGATGAAACGACTCTGACTAAGTTGTGAAAAAGAAAGAGACTGTAAACACAATAAAAACGATCTTTGTTTATTTCACAATCTTTGAATCTTCTTAAACTCTATGATTATATACCACCTAACCCACAAGTGAAAAAGATCGCTGTTTACTTGTCTGTGGTATACTGTGGTTCTCACGAGAAGGCTTACATGATACCATAGGTGAATGAGTAAGACCAGCAGATAATAACTTAGTCACTTCCTTCATCAATGTTCTATAATTAAACATTTATAAACTTGTATGTATGAAAATCTTGATTTTTTCTATTTTTGAATTCAGCTTAAGAGGGAATAGATAGTATGCTGCAGAACCAAAGTTGTACTAAAATTTTAAAGAAACTTGTAAGGTACGAAAAAATATCGAGAGTCAAAAATTTTTATTCAAAGTTTGGTATATTTCAAGTTTTAAAATAGAGTAAAGAACAATTTAGTTTATTTACATGTAAATACTGGTAGAGTTACGGGATAAACAGGTTTGAAGAATTTAGCAACAAACTATATATATATGTATATATACGTAAAGAAGAAAAAATATATAGTCCTATTTATCACACAAGTATCAAAAATTGGGCTTACAAATGAAAATAATAACATTTGTTTATGTAAACAAAACTGAGAACAATGAACTTATGTTACGCAAAATAGCGTTTTCAATTAAGATCATATGAATTTTGTTGCATATATATATATAAATCTGTTCATACATATATATAAAAATAATGTAATTGGATAATTTCAAAGTTCTTTCTTTAGTGCTATATGGGCCGAGCCTGGCTTATTGTTAGCGTGCTTGGACTGTAAATCCGAGGGTTCAGGATTTGCGGCCAACTGACACAGTAATCCATTCGCCCTTTGATATTGTGGATTCGTTATAAGAGTGACGGTCAAATACCACTATTTGGTCTGACAGGGGTAGCCCAACTGTTGGCGATAGATGCTATTAGTTAGCTGCCTTCCCTCTAATCTATCAGTTCAAAATTAGGGGCGGCTACTCGCAGATAGCCCTTTGTGTAGCTTTGCGCGGAAATTCTGGGCTTAACCGTTAGTGCTAGGTACTTTTACAATACTTCAAGAGTTTAGTAGAAATACTCTTTATCTATTAGTTATTCATTATTCCTAACTGAACGTTACTGTCTGTAGAATTTGATAATGTTTTCTTTTCTAATTTCTCCGAAATCATTTAAGTACAGAGTAGTGGGTTGACAGAAAATGTAAGTAATGTCTTTAGCATTTTGTTTCTTCGCTCACCGAGAAACTGGTAAAGAAAACTTCTATAAACTCGTTGCAAGCTATCCACAAGCTATTTCTACCAGATCTGCTAACTCTTCCCGGTGTAGGCATTTTACTGTAATAGTTAGATACAACAGTATGAACTGAAAGGTTTCAAAGTAGAGTTTTAGAATGAAGACAAGGATTAAACGAAACGGCTCGGTAGATATCGTTCAGAGGCCTTAACCTGTTATCTTACCTCCGCAGCAACGTTTTCATACGTTTTGAAGAGTCAAAATCAACAGAAATGTCTTTGTTGCGTGTTCGCTTATTGGTTGAACATATCACATATTCTATTGAAAACGAAAAA